TAGCCTAGAAACCGGGAATAGGTTATAGTTATTTAATCGATCTCTACGTAGGGCTAGGTAGCGCCGCTATTTATCGTTATTATAGGCTAATATCACCTCTTAAGCTAGTATTAAGAAAGCACTCTCCCTGGTAATTAGGCTATCGTAACTATAAAAAACGGCTAAACCGATAATACTACGGGTCTCCTATAGCTAAAGTACTTTAATTAATATATAAAGAAGCGATCGAATAGTGCCTATCGTCTTCTAATCCTCGACGGGTATAAAAGCTACTACTCTACCGAGTTCGAGGTATATTATAAGGAGAATAAGATTATCTCGCTCTATATACCTCCTTATTCGTCTTACCTACTCTAGCCTCTCGATATAGGCTACTTTAGGCCGCTTAAAAAGGCATACGGTCGAGAAATCGAGTATCTAATTAAATACTCTATAATATATGTTTTAAAGACTAAGTTCCTTTACGCCTTCCACGCGGTATTCCGAGCTATAATAACCGAAAGTAATATTAAGGGAGGCTTTAGAGGAGCTAGACTTACCCCTCTAGATATAGAATATATAATCTTAAAGCTAGATATAAAGCTATATACTCTAACGCCTCCCGAGGGGACTCTAGAGCTTCCTAACCCTTAGGTCTTAAAGACCCCTAAGACGATTAAGGAGACTAAATCTTAGTCTATTTACCTTAAATAACGAATCAGGAGACATAAGTATAGCTCCCTAGTATTAATAATTAATACTATAATATCAATAACTAAGGGTATAAAGGTATATTAGCACGAGATAGCGTTACTAAGGATAGAGGTCCGGGATCTTCGAGATACTAACTATATCCTTAGCCGGCGCCGGAGGGAGAAAAAGACCCGCCTACGGAATAGAGGGACTATAATAGTAGAGGAAGGTTAAGTATTAATTAATTAGAAGGATATAGATTCGTAGGTAGTAGCTAAATAGTTAAGGAGAGGTGGTCGGGTAAGGTCGGTGTAGCTAGGTATAAGGTATTGTAGTGCGTGCGGGAAGGCCGGCTATAATTCACGAATATGTCAGGCTAAGATAGAGGTATCTAGAGATACGCATAGCGATTAGTTTGAACTAATTGAATGATCTTTTGTGTGTTAATTGACGATCTTATTCGTGGTGTTGCGATTTATGGGATATTCGCTTGTCTAGGATATTCGCTTATTAATCACGTTAACTATACTTTAGTACGTATTCTTTTTTTATTAAGAATTCCTTTATAAGGTTTCCCTCTTTCTAGCGCCTTACCTTTACTATAATACCTTCTTTTTTAGTAAGCTTAAGACCGAGTAATACCTTCGTTATATTCTCGTGTCGTTAGAGTTCTTCTATTTCTTTTTATTCTCTAGTTCGATACTAGTCGAATACTTTTTCCTTGATATACTTAGGGCAGTCTATCGATAGGTATTTACCCTATATTTTCTAGTTTCGCGTATATACTTTAGGGTATTTAGCTAATTACCTTAGTACCACGCACCCTATACTAGGTTCTATATATATATATTCGTAGAATTCGGCTTTATCTTTCTTATAAAGGTCGTCGATAGCGCGAATATCTAATCCCCTTATTAGGTAGACCTGGTGTCTCCTCTTCTTAGTTTTATAGATTTTATAGAAGTAATATATATATAAGATCTATAATAGCTCGTAATACTTTTCCGCGTTAGGGTTTATCCTTAGGTCGTCTCTTAATAATATCTTTCGATCTTATTCCGGACTATTTTCTCCGAGTATTATTTATACGTAAATAACTATCTAAAGGTCCTCTCCTCGGGGCAGAGGATTATACCGATTATTAGCGGCGAAGAGCTAGTCTTATAGCATAGCTCTTCTATATAAGAGATTCGTTTCGAGTATCCTTTTTTCCTATAAGATTTCTTCTTCGCTATCTATAGAGTCGGTATCTAACGATTCTTTATCTAGCTTATCTAGCGATTCGTCTATAACGTCCGGGTGTCTTATTAGTCCCGTAATAACCTTATATATTATAGCTAAAACGCGAGATTAATATAGTACCTTAGGGAACTATCTTAAATTTTCCTTACTATTTTAGTAAGTCTAGCAGCCGTTATCGTAGTAAGCTATCTAATAGAGTTCCTCGTGAGTTAGCGTTCTAGTTAGCTTTCGTTAGATAGCGGAGAGGTAGTCTTTATACTCTTATTCCCTATCCTTAATAATATCGTATCGCTCGTTTATTATAATTTCATATCCGGCCTTAGTTATATTTAGCTATTTCGCCTTACCTTTAAGTACTAGCTTCTAGTCTTACTTTTATTCTTTCTTTAAAGAATAATATTCGCGCGTAAAGTATCCTTTCTTACTATAATTATAATAAGTAAGGTTCTTTTTCTCGATTACCGCGAGTTTTTATTATATAGCGTTTAAGTCTATAGGTCTCGCGTGAGTTCCTCCGTAAGCCGTGCTTAAGTAGAACTAAGGTCTTCCTATATTAAGATAGATCTTATTTTTATTACTATAATCACGGTTTAAGGAGTTAGTAAAGTACTATCCCTTTTTCTATTATTACCTTTCGAATTATTAGTTATCGATCTTAATTATTATTATAATATATATAGCGAGGGCGGTAGGTCGGTCCTCTTTATAAAGTTTATCCTTAACCTTATCCTTAAGGCCCCTATAATAAGCTATTATTTTATCTTCCTCGCTCTTCGTAGTTCTAGATACTATCTAGATAAATAGAGCGCTATAGTCCGAAATTAATCCTTTCTATTTTAACGCTTTTAGCTAGTTCTCGGCTAGGCGTTCTTTATTAATAGTCCCGAAGGTCGCTTTTAATACTTCTTTAAAGTTATAGTAATATACGAAGATATCTTTTATATCTTACTTATAGTGCTAATAAATATTAGTTATAAAGTCCTAAAGTATAGGTTCGAACTAAGCTAAGGCGGCTCCTAATAGATATCCCGCTATATAGCGTACTTTATCCTCCTTTATTTATAAGATAGAGGGGAAGTATTATTAATAGGCTCTAACCTAAGTTAGGAACCCTTAAAAGTCCTTAGTCGTACTATCGAATAATCCTAGTTAGCGTAGCTTTATAATCTCTCTTAGGTCCTTATTAATAACTTAATAAATAATATTATTATTTATATTATTTATTTCGTTTCTTAATTACGCGTTTTATTCTTATTATAAGGCTATTCTTTTATTAAAATTATAATACGCCTTATTATATTACTCTTTATCGCGAGTCTATATATTAGCGATTTATTATAGTTATCCCCTAAGTTCTTAGATTTAGCCTCTAAGGATATCGGCCTTATCCTCGGACTTATCCGAGTTTATACCGATATCTTCCTCCGGCGGGGGTTAGATAGGTTCGGCGTGCTTGCCCTTAGTCTTAGAGGATTCGCTAGCTATAGTATCGTATTACTTAAGTACTTAATATAGTAGTATACTAAATAAGAGCTATTAATATATAACGTTCGGATCTAGACTAGCTACCGGGTAGGTAGAATAAAAGTCGGTTATTAAACTAAGTATACTAGGATATCGTTAACTTAAGCGGTCGGGTTATAGTCTATGTGCGAGATAGTAGATCTTATGTAGATAATTATATTAATAGCTAAGGAGCTAGTAAAGACTAACTATAATAAAGCTAGGCTTTCTATATACTAAGCGAATATTATATAGTCGACCGTAGTCGACTGTCGTCTACGAGCGCCCCTATAGTATAGTCGATCGTAGTCGCCTGGCGGCTATAGTCGACTGCTATGCTTGGTGCGTGAATAACGCGTGATATGAGGAAAAAGTGGGGGGCACGTGAGAGGCGCATGCGGTCGCATGTCGGGTCGTAACACGACGGCATTCCGATCCGCTCAGCTCCTACTCGAGGCCAGGGCGGATCCTATGGCTAAGACGATGAATGGCTGGACAATTTCATCTAATAGGAAGTTTTTACAAGAACGGAGCCTAGGGGTAGGAGTACTGGGCGGATATATAGGACGAAGACGTTAAAGATAAGGCGAATAACCCGTGCAGAACCACGACAGCGGCGGCCGACCTTGCACGAAAGCTTCTGTCCGAGGCTAGAATAAGGCTACCCCCTATCTAAAGCCCGGCCTGTATTTTGTATACGGGGCCTCGACTGGATTAGGCTTTAGGGTCCAAGCTAGAAGCGCCAACCTATACCCGCCTCGATGGCTGGAGAGGCAGTTCGATAACACAATTTAAAAACCTAGAAGCGTGCTCTATTAACGAGCCTCCGAGACGTATCGAGGGAATAACGCCGCTACACTAGGCAGCTGAGTTTGGAGCAGTGGGCGTGGCGGCGGTACTGAAGGAGGTGGGCGGGACTGACCTCAAGGCGAAAGATAGCAAAGGAGAAACTCCGTACGATGTTGCCTCTCAATCGCGCTGTTTTGAGGGAGATGGCTTAAGACAATTGGCACGCGGTATGAAGGCTGTGCTTACACTATGAATTATTCCGTCATACTATATGTATGGAATGAATCAAAGGACAGAACAGGGTGACGCTATAATTTGGTAAATAAGCCTGAGATTCTTGTTCTTATGAAGGGGTCTTGCACGGATCAAAGTCACACTTCCACCTATCCACGCCCAAGGACTACATTCGAGGGCTCGTATCTTGTCTGCCTTTCGTCACTGGCACATCCTTCTCAATCCATTCCATCTGCCCCTGGGGATCGTACGCCGACTTCCACACCGCAAGCATTTCATCCTTCTTCCACTCGGAATGGCCATTTTGAAACATAAAGCTAGCAATTCGAGGCATGAGAAAACCACAGAATGCAGCGACAAGAGTGATGCTCCCAACCAAAATGACCAATCCAACAAGGCTGAAGTTCTGCACCTGAATCGTGGAGCGAATTCGCTGTTCACCGCACATGTCGTCTAGAGATCTGTCTGTACTGCTTTCGCCGGTGAACCGAGAAGCCGGGACAAGTTGAAAGGCAGCGGAGTCATAGCCTGTTAGGGGCTGGTCTGGGAAATTAGCGACATTAGTTTGAAGCCTGGCGAGGCCCGTCTCGAACCACAGTTGGACTTCTTTCTGCCAATGCGTGGGCATCTAGACCAGGGGAGATGAGCATTGGGCTGGCCATGATGGACTTGGCAATGAGAGCTGGAGACGATTCCGTGTTAGCGAACCAAGCAATGAGAAGGAGAAGGAGCTTCTTCTCGGAGAACTTGCCGTTGTCACCCAGAGATCTCACACTTCCTTCCATTGTGTAAAGCAGTGAGTCATGCTGGATCCTCACAATAGTGGCCCACTGTTTGTTGTTCACCGTTCCCAGAAGTTCGGGGATCCCACTGCTCAAGTGGCCATCCAAACCTGAACAGGCGCCGCTGATGGGATCGCAAAACTCATGTTGATCGGCGCAGGCAACGATGCGCAGAGTGTTATCGCTCAGATACATGACTTGCTCCGTACCAAGCTCCGAAGTCCGGATTGGGTTCTTGATAGACCCGTTGGCCTGGAACACGGGATCGTCGACGCTCTGCGCATACGTCACAATATTCGGAGCAATCAAGATGGCGCTCACGTCGGCGTCGGTGCGGTTTAGCGACGGAATCGGGACCCAGGATATGTTGGCTGCATCGCTGAAGCCTCTATACGCCGCCGCCGTGCTGGCAAAAGAATCAGCATCAAGATTCGAACAAAGTTGTGTAGATGGACGTACTAGACCTCGTAGCCCATGCGCTGGAGCGGACTGAGCTGATATGAGAAAGTGAAGTTTTGCTTATCATACGGCCCGAGGTCAACGTCGAAGAGGGGGGAGTCCGCTCCGATCTCCCAATCGTCTCGCTGACCCTGTACTTGCGTCAACATGGAGGGATCAAGTTTCAAGGGCGAGCATGTCGTTTTCCAACGATACTGGATTCGATCCTCTCGCCGGGCGTTGATGCCAAGGGAAGCGTGCGAGTCAATTTTCCCCGTATCAAAGCTTATGGCTCCCGTTGGCCCAAGTAGACATAATTCGGTGTCGAAGGGACACGGCGCTCCTGTGTCTATGTCAAAACTGAGGTGTCTGACATTGAAAGGCGACTCTCTCGATTCTGACGGAGAGCCACTATAGAAATCGATTGCGTACCGCCGGGCATCATTGGTATCGCGAAGCTCCTTGGCGCCGAACGCAGCCGTCTCCGTCAGAGACGCTGAACTGTGCGCGAACAGACGTAACAAGCCACACGTACCACTTCGGGCCAGGACAACTATGTCTTCGTTTGCAGTGGTTGCCACTAGGGAAGGCAAAACCACACTTGCCAGAGCGATGAGCGCGGCGCAGGCGCCCGCGAGGGAGAGGAGGAAAATGAAATGAAGTGGGCGCCTGCTCAAGAAAGAAGATTGACTACTTCGCCAAGCCCAAAACGACGAGACAAGCGCGAACAGCAGGTCACTGGGACGGCTGCTGTTGCGGAGGATGAAGCGGCGCTGCGCGAGCTCGGCGTTAGTGGCTGAAGTCCCCCTGGTCAGTGGGAGGAGGTAGAGAAAGAGGATGACGGTGCTCCAGATGAAGGGAAGGAGCACGACAAGGAGGAGAGAGAGCGCGGCAATAAGTTAGTTGGACTGAGTGGTTGTGAGGGTAATGACATAGCGGGAGAATGTGGATGCGCTGTGGTCCTCCCACAAGCCGAGACGGATTTCGGGAGAGAACATTAGAGCAGCACGTTCCAAAGCTTATTATCAGATGCTTGAGTGCGTACTCGGATGAGGGGGTGCAAAGCAAAACATAAACCAGCTGTGCCACATACTGAGCAGCGGGCGATTCTGTTTAAATAATCATCCAAGTGTACCCCGTAACCCGGACCGGCCAAGACCGCGCGCTTTCCGGTGAATATACGTTTAGACATGCACAAATCCAACACGCCAAATCTAGAGCGGCCGATGCAGCATTAGCCTGTCCATTGTCTCACTACAGCTCAGTCCCTCTTGTCAGCCCCAATATAGGCCAAGAACTATAGCGCGTATCCCTCTTATTAGCGCAAGGGGCTATTGAATCCGGGCGGACTTGGTGGTTATGCCGCCCCATGTGGAGAGCATTCATGTTTATTTAACCAGACCAGCCAAGGTTTTCAACTACATGTACGTAGTCGTGCATTATGTGGGCGACGATCGCGCGGTTATGTGGCCCGAATCTGAGTATTCTGATCTACGTAGTGACACTCACACCTACATGCAGCTCAGGCTACATATAGCTGGGTCTCAATTGGAGCGATACGTTTTATAGGGCGGGTGATCCCGCTGTGGGGGGGGGGCTAGCCTAATTTGGCACTTTCAGGCTTGGGATTGACTCGGACTAGCCGCACTGCGGATACGTAGCCGTCGGTCGCAGCGAGACTCCAGACTCCAGACTCCAGAGTCTAGTCTCTTCTTCCGACCGTGTATCTGCATGGTTCCGTGCAGATGGTGCCTGTATTGCAGGGGTCGACGAGGGTTTGACTACACATGGGCTGTAGAATGGCGTGGTTTTCATGTTCAGCTCTGTCCCCTAAGCTGCCTTTAGAAGTTAGCTGCATGAGCAGTGCTCATAGTATGTTCCTAGATGCGCCACGCCAAGAGTCACTACTCGAAGGAGACAGAGCGTCTCAGACACTTCGCCGACCATGAAAATGGACTGAGATAAAGGTGCAGCAAGCCAATTGAACCTGGCGGTGCAGAGGCGAACTTTACGATTTGACAACCATTCTTATCAAACAGGCTAGACGACTCAGCGACGACGTCAACCGGCGGCCTGAGGAGGAAAATGCTACGAGTGTGGATCAGTCCCCTCACCTTAACCAACAACGGCTGCTCACTAACAGTACTTTCCTACCTTACCTGAGGTAGCTCAAAATTCCGGAAACCGTGTGCATAAAGCCCTTTTCTTCAGAGCTGAGTTTACCTTTCCTATTTCGTTACTTTCTTACTAGATTTTCTCAAGTCTGCGCGCTCCCCTTGCCATGACACGAGGGCAAATGGATGAATCTCGGAACAACAGCTAGTCTAGTCCCCGCGGCTTGCAGCTGCGGCCCCTGGCCATTGAGAGGCACCGCGACTTCTGCTAAAATCCTCGCCCCCTGAGAGGGTTGTTTTCGACTCCCCTCAACCGTCCCAAGAATCCCGTATCAGATTCATGTCCTCCGACTACTCCTCTCGCAGCGAATATACCGAAAGTCAATTCTGAGGACTAGTCTGCAGTTATCGGCTCGCGAACAATAGCCTTTTGATGACTAAAGGTTCAAGGATAAGCGCACCGGTAGCTCAACATACATCGACTAACAAGATACCATTGCCGTGCTCATTGATGCAGGCGCAAATACTAATAGACTCGGCTACTGCTAAACGCACATTGTGCCTGAGCCGGCCATGTTTCTGAGTACGACGGTAGCCTTGAAGACTCTTCTGGAAAAGGGGGCGGATCTAAACGGTATACGCAGGGATAGGACCACTGCGCTTTATTACTCGGACAACGCATTCCGGCACACCGGCTCGAGATATCGGGATCGTATACCCACGAAGCCGGTATTCGCCTTCTCCTAGGCCACGGCACATCGGCCACTAAGCCAGGTCTCACGGGTGATCTGCCGCTCCACCCCGCAGCATTTATGGTCGTATCTTGACATTTTCCAATTATACCTCTCCTCGTGCTGCCACAATGTTGCCGAAGAACAAGCTCTGATCCTGAACGCCATAAACCGAAAGGGAGATACTCTACTATATTACGCGGCGGCAGGAGCTAATATCGAGATCATACGATTTGTACTCGCTCGTGGACTCAACTCTAATGCTTCGAACCAGCACGGGTGGACTCCATTGATTTGTGCCCTCGCTCACGGCTACAGATCACATCTTCATTGGGCCTCAAGGGGCAGCAGCAGTATGTCTAATAAAGTCCAAGCTGCCCGACTTCTTCTTTCTAACAACGCTAGTGCACGCGTTATTACTGAAGAAAGCTGGACACTATTACATATCTTAGCATGTAACCACGACGCACACCTCGATAATGAAGCCGGAGACTTGGCGAGAACTTTGTTAGCTGGTGGATCTGATACCTATCAACGCGCTCCAGCTGTTTGGCGCTTGAACCTGGGCCGGAATTTACCGAAACCTCGGACCAGGGCTAGGGAATAGAAGAGGTTACACTCGGGGTCACGGTAGGTAGCAATCAATAGGTGAAAAGACATTGATGCAAGTAAATCTACGTCTAAAAGCTAGAAGTAACCAGTACTCAAGTTCTAGGGGCCGGATCCGAGAACTAGTCAACTCAGCAAAACACTGCACGTAATGGCCACGCATTCTTTTTTCTCCAGTATAACTTTAAGAAAACTCAACGCTCTGTTGGATTTTATGTTTCTCTCGTCCGTGTAGCCGTTGTATAGAAGTAACATCACACAATGTGACCGCTTAATCAACTAGCCTGCGACCATTGCGGTATTGCCACAGCCGGCTTACGTCCCGCATCTTCTTCGTATAGCTGCCCTTGGATTTGTCCCATGGCTCGCGATGATCCATGCCGGCTCTGTCGCCCCTACTATCAGGCATGGCGTCCATCTCCATGAAATCGCCGTCTTCCGGGTCGCGTGTGAATCGCAGAGTTGGATCTAGAGGAAAGATGCTGTCGAGGTAGTGCTGATTGAACTGGTGGCCCGCTCTCGGGTTGATAAACAGCTTTCCCATGAAGCGGTTCTCAAGTTGGTCCACAGGTGTCTCCTTTGTGTAATTCAGGACGCCCCATCTGCTTGCAAAGTCATAGATATTGGCGTAGTGCTCGATGTGGCAGATGGCACCTTCGTGCTCATCTGTGTCTGCACTCATACCGAAGCTGGGTTTCCTGGCACCCGGCGCCGTAAAGGTCCGACGGGGGTTGCTGAAGTGATTTGCGAGACAGCCAAAGGTGTACACCTCTAGGTATCGCAGTAGGTCTTGTGGTACATTATCCAAGAGCCAATCAACAATCATGCCTCCTTCGATGCCTCCTTGAGAATGAAGAATAAGTACGACCTTCTTGACGCCCGGTTCGTAAAGTGCCTTCTTCACTAGCACGTAGCAGTCTCGGACATCTGACGTGGCATATAGGAGAGAGCGTTGTATCAAACACTGAACCAGGTCAAAGATGACCCCTGAACTATGAAGTATTGATTAATATTAAACAAGTTAGCAGAGAATATGCATACGTTTTGTTATGAACTCCGACGACCGGTCGATGGAATGCCCGTGACAGCCGGTCAACATTACTCTGCAGCCAGTTGCTCCTAAGTGCGGTGAGTAAGCTTTGAAATCAGGAGGATCGTATTTGATCAGACAACATACCCAACACAGATACCATTGAGAAATATCCAGCGCTCATCGGGATGCGGTGTCCATTCCCTCGAGAACTCGTCTTCAGTGGACTTTAGGCCGTCCTCGGGGATGCCATAGTTGAAGTGAAGACAAATAAGCCTGTTCACCCCAAGGAAGAGGCCAATGTAAGTCAAGTAGGCTGATACAGGAAGATATAGCAGAAAAAACAATGATATCAGAAACGAAAGCTGCGTAATAAAGAGAACTGTGTGGAAAAGAATATCAATGATATTAGCCTTTGATGGATAGAGCTCATCCATGGCCCCCGACCACCATGGGTAAGCAGGCAAGAAGATGAAAGGAATGTAAATAATATTTCGGAAGAAAAGCATGATGTCGGAGAAGAATAGCTGCCATGGTGATCCTGTGTAAGTGAGAGGGCGTGTTGTGTCACCTGCCACCTGAGGGGAACAAAAGCGGACAGCTGGAGCATGTCGCATAATTGCTTGGTATCAATGGGTAAATTTCACCTTGCAGCTGTCGATATTGAATGCGTCCAGCTCACAAGGAGCCAGAGTTTTGATGCTTTATACCTGCTGCAGAGTCGAGCCACCACGCTAACTTCAAGTTCCCAGGACTGCCACTCGACTCTCTCCCACATTTCACTCCCACCAAGCATCAGCCTATCGAGACCACTATCATCACATGTCAATTGCCTCCGACAAGTAGCGCCAAAGTTTCGGTTCTCAAGAACTATTGAGCTGCTCCTGGTGCGAAGCTTAGCCAAGAATGTCTCTGGCGCAGTCAACTAGAGTGATGCCGAGCAATGCAGCTCTCAGGTGTCAACTTGTCCTCCACTAGCGTCAAGCTACGGAGTAAGCACAATAGCATGTCACATGTGATTCAGTTTCCGTGGCGCGGCCCTTAAGTCGAGGGAACGCATTCCAACTGTGGTCACAGCGCCGGTGCTGGAATGCACAGCATCAGCTTACCCTCCACGGCATCAACGATAGCGATCGCTTCTAACGTCAGCACGAGGCACACCTGCTTATCGGCGTCCACGATTGGAACGGTTCGTTGGAGGTCTAGAATCAGCCCTTGCGTCTGACACAACAGCCGCAGAGCTGACTTTCAAATCTATCGCTGCTTTCATGTAACCTGGCATGTGATCAATGAAACCATGGCTGTCATTTGTTTCCAGCCTAGCCAAGAGCAGGAGTACTATCAGTATTACATACTCGGTGCATGCTCTTTTGTAGCCCTATATAAGTAGACATCAGAATACATGTAAGCTACAGTGCTTGTGGTGAATCTTGTTCATCCTAACCAGCCAATCCACTTGCACGGCCCCCGTCACCAAAAGCCACTGTCGCGTGTTCAAGTTCACATCCATGAGCGAAAAAACAACGGCGGCCACAAACGGCCTGCTGTCAGCCAATGGGCCAATGTCAAATGGCACAAACGGTGTTCCCAGCAGTACGTCGTCCCAGCAGCAAAATGGCTGCGGAAAGACCGCGTCAAAGAAAGGGCCTCGCCCAGACAACGGCAACGGCAACGACGGCAGGTCACCTCGTCGCTTCCCTCGTATCTCACTGCCTGTCGAATTGATGCGAGACTCGTACGATGTGGTGGTTATTGGTAGCGGATACGGCGGAGGCGTGGCCGCTAGTCGTATGGCTCGGGGAAAGCAGAGTGTTTGCCTGCTCGAGCGTGGCAAAGAGAGGTGGCCTGGCGAGTTCCCAGAGCAGCTTCTGGAAACGTCTGAAGAGATTCGAATCAGCGGCGAGTTTGCGCCAGGTGACCGACGAAGTATTCCGGGCAAGATTGTCGATGGCGGAAACTCCACAGGGCTGTACCATTTCGTCGTCGGGGAGGGCCAAAATGCCTACATGGGCAATGGGCTGGGTGGCACAAGCTTGTTAAACGCAAATGTATTTTTGGAGGCACATCCAGATGTCCTGGACATGGAAATCTGGCCCAAGGAGCTCAGAGGAAAGGATGCTTGGACGAAATGTGAGCATTTAATTCCTAGACTGCCCGTCACACCAGACCACTGCTCTCCGGCACAAAACTAACCCAGCAGACTACAAACGGGCCAGCTCCGTTCTAGAACCGGTCGAGTATCCCGCGACGTTCCCAGAACTGCGCAAGGCCGATCTGCTCAAGAAGCAGGCGGAACTCATGGGCATGGGCGACAAGTTCTACCGCGTCAAGCAGACGACCCGATTCAAAGATGGACCAAACAGCACTGGTGTCTGCATGCGGGCCTCAACGCTCACCGGCATGGACGCCACTGGTATCAACGACGGAAGCAAGTCGACAACGCTGGTCAACTACCTCAGCGACGCGTGGAACTGGGGTGCCGAGATGTTCTGCGAGTGTGAGGTGCGATACGTAACCAAAGCTCCCGGGCGTGATGGATACATCATCTACTTTGCCTGGCACGGCGGCAAGCGTGGACGCTTCACAACTCTCTACGACGACTTGATGTGGGTGCATGCCAACAAGCTGGTCTTCTTCGGAGCTGGTAGCATCGGCACTACGGAGATCCTTCTTCGAAGCAAACAGTTTGGGCTAAAGATGAGCGAGGACGTCGGCACTGAGATGAGCGGCAATGGAGATATGCTCGGATTCGGGTGAGTTCATGTTTCTTTGTGCATCGGGCAACGACGAATTGGGCTCATTATTGAAATTGTTGCGCAGTTACAACACGGACTACGACGCCAATTGCATGGCACATCCCGATCCGACCTGGGACCGCCCTGTTGGTCCCTGCATCACGTCAGTGCTAGATCTTCGCGAGCAAAAGAACGTGCTGGAGGGTTTCGTTGTGGAGGATTGCGCCATTCCTCTTGCTCTGGCTCCCTTGATGTTCCCGATGCTGGAGTATCTTCCCGACCCAGTCAAGCCACGCTACGGTTCACTTGAAACCTTGACCAAGGCGGCATCTCGGGTTGCAGGCAAGCTTCTGGGGCCCTACTCAGCCCATGGCAGCGTCGCGAGAACAGCGACATATCTCATCATGTCGCATGACAGTAAGCAGCTTCCGCAAGAGTCGACCAGATGCAATATACTAACTGATGCCTCGTAGGTAGCCAGGGTAGCCTGAGACTGAAGGAGAACAAGCCCGTTCTTACCTACTCAGGCGTCGGCCGGTCCAAGTCTGTTTCTCGGATTCACGAGTTCTTGGAGAAGATGACAGCCAATGTTGGAGGAAACTTTGTGGCCAACCCAGCATGGACTCTACTTGGTGCACAACAAATCACCGTTCACCCCATGTACGAGCTCCCAGCCCAGAATTGAGCTATTTGACACTTGGGACTGACATTTTCACAGCGGCGGAGCCCGGATGAGTACCGACGGCACTGGGAGCAGTGGCGTGACGAACCACTCGGGAGAAATCTTCAAGGGCGACGGGACCGAGACCCATCCAGGGCTCATTGTGTGTGACGGCGCACTCGTGCCCACTGCGGTGGGAGTGAACCCCTTTGCCACGATCACAGCCCTCGCCGAACGATCAGTGGAGCTGGCCGCTCAGAGGTTTGGAATCTCCATCGACTACGACACCAAGAACGGTAAGTAAAAGTCTTCATTTACCCCGTCGCGTCTCTTCAGACAGATAATAATCGGCCGTAGGTGTCCTCGACATGTACGGTAGCCCAAAGTTCCCGCTGCCACGCGATGACAGCATCGAAAGGCTGTCGGCGGCCATGACGAAAGCTGGTGACAATGGAAAGTCTGGTATTGCCTTCTCCGAAGTCATGACCGGTTTCATTCATGCGGGGCCGGATGTTGATGACTTCAAGGTCGCTACCGATCTAGGTCGAAGCCGGTGTGAATTTGCTCGCTTTTTCCTAAGTGTCAAGTCTTGGGACATTGCAGAATGTGAGTTGATAACAAGTCATCTGCCACTTTTCTATACATTACACAGCTAACAACCAGAAGTGGTCAACAACAACCTTCATCCGGCCCACTTGACAGGGACGTTCTGTTGCGAGTCTCTGGGAGGGACCTTTATTGTTCACCGGGGTGCATTCCAGCTGTTCAACGAAGACGTGCGCGAGCCAGACACCACAAACCTATCGTATGACTTCGACATGGTGTCTCCTAGAGGGAACACTCTGCACTTTAACGGGTACAAGGTGGTCAATACCGCTGCCTATCTTAATCCTCTGGAGATTCTTCGGCAGACCACTACCTTGTATGTCACCATTACCAACAAAGACGATGAGATTGTTGGACGTGGTACACTGCACATTCAACCCAAGGACTTCTACCAGGAAGTTTTGACCTTTGGTGCCACAGGGCCTTCAACCTGGTCGAGATTGACATCGGTCATGAGCTTCCTCGGCTACTTTACGAAACAGCTCTCAGTCCCATTCTTCTCGACTTTGGGGCGCCTTCAGTGGCCCAACGCTGGCGTCGACACGGCTTCCATGGCCACCTCACCGTCTCAGGTGGCTCCATTAGTAGCATTAGATGGTGTCAAGACAACTTTGATGATGTGGAACCCCATCCAAGACGGCAAGGAGGTTCTCGGCGATGCCCCAATTATCCTGTTTGTCGCTGGCGCCGCAACAGACCACACAATGTTCGCTTTGCCGACAATAGAGACCAATGCGATCGACTACTTCCGCTCCGCGGGGTACAGGTCGTACTGTCTCACACACCGAGTTGGCCGCACGCCAGTTGCGCAGCAAGGCCATACCCCTTATGATGCCAGGCGGGATATCCACGCCGCCCTTGCTCACATTCGCAAGGTGGGCAGCACACGTGGTGACAAGGAGATGCCTAAGATTTACGTGGTTGCACACTGTGCTGGCTCGAGCGCTCTCGCCTGTGGCCTTCTCGACGGCACGATCCCGGCAAACTGGCTTCGGGGCGTGACCGCCTCCATGGTCTTTATGAATCCCAAGTTTGGCAAGATCAATCACCTCATCTCTGGGTTTCCGGTCAATGTGTACAGCAAACTTGTCAGTTCGTACTGGGACTGCTGCAGTAGTCGTCATGACACTGCGATTCAGCGGGCCCTCAATCAAGTCTTGCGGCTCTACCCTGCTGGTGATGCTCGAGAGACCTGCAAGTCGGTTGTTTGCCATCGAAGTGAACTTGTCTTTGGCCGGTGAGTTCAAGTTTGCGGGGACAATGTCTCACGCAGTAAACAACACAAGTACTGATTCCTTTAACTAGCCTTTGGACCCACAAGAACCTCAATGAGACAACCCATCGCAACCTTGCCCAATTCGTTGGTGGGACGTCCATGCAGTCCCTAGCATGGCTGATGAATGCTGGGCGGAAGGAGGCTGTCACCACAAACGAGCCGGCTAGCACGAGCTTGGTGACACCGGAGAATCTGGAACGGCTAAAAGGTCTTCCCATTCTATTCCTCTCGGGTACCGGCAATATGGTCTATACGGCAGAGAATACTGACGTGTCTTTCACTACCCTGTGTCACGCCCATGGTCGACAGTGGTATGAGAGGGAGCTCTTCTCCGACAAAGGACACTTGGATGCCTGGATGGGAGCAAATGCATACAAGGATGTTTACCCGAGGGTAAGGAGGCACGTGGACAAGTTCATGAAATTGTGAGTATAACGGGGACTGGGCACATGTTCGAGGATGAGCGGCGCACACAATATGGCGGACACTGGTAGTTATGGTACGGCATTACCAGACTGAACTATTTAATGTGGGAATTCTAGGTCTCTGGCGCTCAAGTTTATTACCATTAGCCGCAGACATCTAATAGTGCATAAGTAATCGAGTTTGAAGTCACCCTCTCATCAGCCAACCCACAGAGTCCTCCCGTGGTATGGCATCGAGCATTACAGCATCTTGCAAAGACGCTTTGTGGAATCGAATGGACTTGATCCGCGACATGCCAACCCCGGACCGACTGAAAGGGTAGCCAGGCACTTCGTACGGTTGCAATTGCCGTCATATGCTTCGGACTCTAGTGTACATGTACAGTGATCTGACTGACACCTTGAGCAAGTCGGGTATCAAGCCCATTGTGACGTGCGGTGCGTCGGCCAAAGAGACACTCTTGGGGGCTTCGGAAGCACCGAGGCCCTCGATTACGGCTCGCGGAATCGTGGCCGGGAGACCAAGAAAAAGGCGGCACGACTCGCATTAGGCTGAAAGGCTGCACATTGTTGGCCCCCGAGTCCAGTCCTGACCCCTGATGCGGCTGTGTCCCTGTGTGCGCGCCAACATGACCAACGTGAATGCAACGGCAATCACGCATCAATAAAGTCAAACGCACTGACGAAATAGGTCCGGCGAACTTTTTGATGTGACCAAAGTCCGCAGCGTGGGGAGGCGGCACCAGGGGGTGCTTGTCTGTACATGCATACATTTATACGAGGACGTGTGAGCGTCGTTGTCACAACCAAGGTACGCAGTAATTAGATGCCGACAAAAGAACAAACCACATACCGCAAGGCCACGAGAATATCATCATCCTCATCGTCAATCCCTTTTGAACCATTCGCGTCTGACTCTGGTCTACCCACTCGAAGCACTGCTCAACATTCCTCGCGCGATATCCTCAAGGTCTCAGCCCTGCGCTACAAGGACGCCAGCAAGACAGATGAGGAGTTTGAGAAGCACTTTGACCAAGTGATCAAACTTGAATGGGTCAAGCTCGTACACCGGCATGACGTGATCGTGCACCTACATCGTGGGAAGCAGCGGTTGCATGTCCTACAACAAGTTGCTGCGCCTGTTTGTTGAAGTATCATGTAGTTGGTGCGCGATGCAGGGTAGTCACAAGAAGTGATAACGTAACTAACCCCTTAACGTATTCTCGTTAACGTATAATCACGTGACTCCTCCCAAGTCACTTCCCGGCGCGATACTTCTTACGTTGGTACGTAGTATCCCCGCGCAACCTCCTGCAGTCGTGGTTGACAGTTGTACCGGTCACCGCCATGAGCATAGCCTCCCACAGCCATTGAAATGGTGAAACCGAGCGATGAATAGGATTCGCCCCCTTTGTCCGTCCCCGCGATCACCTTGCATCGGTTCATGCACCGTACTGCACGGCAAACTCCGCCAGCACAGCAAACTCCGCCAACTGTACATGTATGTCAACCAACATGTCTGTTTCCCTGAATCGAGAGGACGAAGCTTTTATGTTCCTGCCGCCCAGATACCACATATGTAGCCCTGGCCACCCGTCGAGCAGACTCGCCACTGTTGTCAAGTCCTGCTCCACATCGGCCACCGTCCATCATCACGACACGCGAGACAGTTGACAGCACCATGCCGGCCGCACAAGACAAAGGCGCCCGGCCGTACGGGATCATCGTTCTGGGGGCAACTGGATTCACGGGCACCATGGTCTGCGAGCACATTGCAGCCAAGATGCCCACCAATCTCGAGTGGGCCATCGCAGGCCGTTCCCAGGAACGTCTTGCGCAGTTGGCAGCCAAGCTCAAGTCAGCCCACTCCGACAGGGTGCAGCCATGTGAGAAACGCGCAGCTTGACGATCGTGGCGTCACTCAATGGCAGTATGCTAACCCACAGCCCCAAAAGCTCTGGAGACTGTCATGCCCAACGATCCCGGGACTCTCGCAGCCGCCGTTGGCAAGGCGCAGGTCTGCCTCAGCGCCGTCCTCTACTGCCAAGACGGAGAGTCTGTCGTCAACGCCTGCGTGGAACAAGGCACCGACTACGTCGACTGGTTCGTCGCCTTGAGGTTTCCGCGCGAGATGAACAAGAACTATCTAAGTATAGGTCAACAGCGCCGCAGTGCCCACCCTGCTCCGAGACTGGATCCCCAAGTATCACAAAGAGGCTGAGGAGAAGGGGGTCGCGGTGAGTACAAAGCCCCCAGTGACCAGCTTCGTTCGTTCCCCCATCCAAGCAAGGGCTGATGAGGCCCAACCCCATAGCTCATTCACTCATGCGGTGCCATGACAGGCGAGATGGACCTCTTCGCGATACACGCGCATGATATGATCTCCAAGACATGGGGACCGGGTGCCCGCATGGGCAGAATAACCCTCCGCGCGGACGATCTCGAGTAGGCGCTCAGCACCGCTATCGCAAACCACTTCCCACCGAGCTAACGGATCTGCTGCTAGCCCCAATGTCAGCGGCGGCACCTTACGGACCATGGTCACATTCGCAAGTGGCGGGCCTAAGGAGATTGCCGCAGCGGAGGATCCCTCCTTGCTGACGCCTATTCCATACACGACTCGGCTTAAACAGCCTCCGTGGATTCATCGCCATCCTATCCTCGGGCTCCTGTCCAATTCCTCGCCGCCAGGCGCCCAAACACGCACCTTACTCAATCGGTCATGGGGCTTATTAGGCGGTCCTAAGGGCAGCTGGGGCCCTAACTTTGAGTACTACGAGTACGAACGCGCCTATTCGTACCGAGGTGGCATCCTGAGTATTCTCCGCTGCCAGCTCGTCCTGTTCTTCTTCTCGCTCGTACGGTTCACTTGGTTCAAGAACCTACTTCTAAGCACCGCGCGGCCCGTGGGCAGCGGGCCTACAGAGGAGACCATCAAGGGGCTGCCCTTCTCCGCGGCGGTCCTCGTGGAGGCTGACTCGGCCGAGGAGAAGAAAGGTGGCTGCCTCATCAAGATGAAGTACTCGGATGGCGGCTATCCTTTTGCAGCCATGCTCATGGCCCAGGCAGGTGCCACACTGCTGTACGACCGACACCTGTCGGCGGGCATCAAGGGCGGCTGTCTCACCGCGGGCGTCCTGGGGCCGGACTTTGTGAAGAGGGCAGAGTCCGGCGGGCTGGAGATGGAGACGACCATGCTGGACAATCTGTAGTGCTAGGCAAGCTGAACAGCTATCGAGAGTCCTCGAGGCTCGAATAAGAACAGCCGCGTTGCCCAGCACAGCAGAGTGCCCTTCCTCGGCAGATTCACATCAAATACATGGGTGAATGTCGGTCCATCCTGCGCGCTCAAGTCCGTCCGTCCGTCCGTCCACCTTAGCAGTCCCCAAGATGCCACAGACGTAAGATACCCTGCCTTGGTAATTTTTCAATTTCGAGTACATTCGGGTCTGGTTCATGGCGCCCATGCACGGCGCGGACGTGGCCAAATGCCTCGAGGCCGCTTCCAAGATCAAAAAGCATGATTCCGAGAGCTGGTACCAGGCCTGGACAGAGGCAGCTGTATTTGCTGAGGACATGGCCGGCAGTGGCCTGAAAATGGGCGATAGGCAGGCTGCCAAGTCGGCTTCCTAGGACTGGAGCCTGTGACTACAGATGCGCTAGTGAATAGTGAGTGAGTAGATCTCTTCTCCTCCCTCCCTAAACGAGGACCGGGGAGCAGAAAGGCATTAATTGACTGGGTAATCTCCTTTGCAGCATGCTCCACGTGAACCCTGCAGACTCGAGACTGTTAGGCATCATGGAAAAGTCCAGGGCCAACTTTTGGAGCGCCTGCGCTCAAGTACCTGACGAACAGGCAGACGGACGCGGTGCTGCGCTGGGCGTCCGGATTCAGAATGCAGCTTCAGCTCGATTTTGGCCACCTGTGGCTGGTCTTTGGGATGGACTCGTGCGTGGACGCCCTGCGAAAGCTGGCCTCCATCTCCCTGGAGACGCCGGGCGAGGATCCCATCTGCGCCAGGGTCAAGTGGCCCGTCATGGTCGCCGCAGCTCGCGACTCCATGTACAAACTTGAGCCGCACCTGATCTATCGCAAGCTCGCCGAGTACAAGGGGAGTGGGGGAGGCTTGCGCTGTGGGATCCAACCACGCCCAGCCAGGGGTCCATACAAGCAAAGCTGGGTGCTTTGTCCCTGTTCTAGTTCAAGATCTTCTCTTGGATGGATGATGTATTTGAGATGCGACGGGCCCCCAGTGGAGACCAGATGATGTAAAGCAGTCACACATGAGGATGGAACACGGACATGTCGAGACCCTGGTCTGCCTGACAGACACTAACTAGTATATTGCGGGGGAATCCAACATATACTTGGTTTTGCTGGACAGCTCATATACTATATATAGCCGTACTGAATGCAGAGCCAACCCTTCTAATTCACCATGACAGCCTTTCCTCATTCGACAAAGTGACTCTCGTCCTCAACTATTTGCTTGCCCACGTCGTCGTCGCCGCACAGGACAAACAGTGCCTCAAAGTGGGCTTGATACCTCTACGTCAGGAGGGTCATTGAATCGTAAGGAAAGTCTTTTTGCTCGCCAATAACCACCTCAGTATCAAAGTCGGGAGAATTGTGGACAACATAGGTTCGTTGGTGGCACAGGAGGATGCATCGCCGGTCAAGTTCCTGAGCAGGGGTACGTGATGATCTTTGGGAATCTCATACTGTGTGAGCTGGAGGGAGTCGATGCTGCCTGGCTAGACGCGGGGTATCTATCTATCCACGTCTGTCGACAGGCCCAGGACCGGCGGGATATATATCGTCTTCGCTGCACTGTCCAGCTTCGCGCGGTGCCGTCCACCACCCTACCTGCACACATCGGCCAATATATCGGCAGGTAACGTGAAGCTGCCGATGGGGTTCGGCGCCGGCTCAGCCTCACTCGCATACATTCAATGGCTAGATCCAGGGGGTCCTGGTCTTATTCAGCATAGCGCACCCGTTGTAGAGCGGATGACGACCTCTGCGAACTAGGCGGTCGGCTTGGCTACTCCCTCTTCGCCCACGTTCCCCGTGCCGCTCCTTAGAAATTCCGTCCCGTCCTCGAGTATCTCTGTAAGCCGTAGGCCTTGCCACACCCCATCGCTGGTGGGAGGCAGCTTAATGCTACTGTAGAACCTAGATCACGATACGTACATGTAAATGTTGACCAGTCGCTCCCTTACAGGCACGACAGTGAGAGAGCGGACGGGGTCACGCGTGTTCCTGCGGATATGGTCGTATGAGGGAGGAGCTCCATTTTAACACAAGTATAGATTCTAAATTTGTGGTCCGATGGCGGCTCCATCATGATCGATGTCCCAAGGTAAGCCTCGCGGACGGAAGCGCAGGGTATTCAATGTCCACCCAGGCAGGGCTGCGGGCTAATCAATCAGGCCAGAATCCACCAGATGCAGGGGGTCAATTTGATTGATTGATACAAATTTCGCGCGAGATTTGATTCTTCGATCTGATGCTGATAAATGTGAATTGGATTTGATAGACTTCGTGTGTGACCAAATATACTAAGAAATAGATACTGAAGAGACTTCCTGGTTCGACATAAAATGAATGAGGCTTACACGGTTGGTATCTATCTATACCTACGTGGTTATGGGGAAGGTGACGGGCCTGATGCAGTGACGCCGCCGGAGTCGGTACGTACCAAAGGACCGAGGCCGGGCCCGCCGGGCCGGCCCGGGGGTAAGGGGCGGGGTAATCTTGACATTCCTACTGGTTCAGAGCCGAAAAAGAAAAAGAAAAAGGTCTATGTACGGAATGCCGTTTCAAACTGTTCGATAGGTTTGATCAAACAGCAAACGAGCGGCAGCCGACAGATTGATCGATTGAAGGCCTCAAAATCTCGGAGTTTTGGCTGTTGATTGCGAACGAAGAAGATGCACTGATTAGCCTGCAGCCCTGCAGCCCTGCGCTCAGGAAAAGATCAACTCCTCCTCCATGTCCTCCGCACGCGTATGCGTATGCTCTTTGCAGCGTAGTCGGCTGTGTCAGCGTTACATTACCTTATGCAGTTGGTTCGCTTCTTCCATCTTGTGCAGCCACCTTGCGCAGCCACCTTACGCAGCCACCTTGCGCAGCCATCTTGCTTGAGAGTCGAGACGGGAGGCCTCAATCCTCATGGAACCCGGGTACATAATACATACTAACACGGAAGAAGCAGCCTCTGTCTGGCCTACCCAGTTATTAAGCCAAACTTTCACTCGTTCCAGTCCAAAGATTACCGCACTACGATTCACTACGAACCACGGAGCACTCTCAATGTCTGCGACGTACTGGGATCCACAGCGTTTGCTGAATATCCATATCTCTGGCACACGTGTGACATGCGTTGGTGAGAAGAAGCAGAAGAATGGACAGCCGTGCAGCTTCAAGCCTCCAGGCGCCGAGGTTTCCGGCATTCGTCAAGTTATACAGCAACTTGCCAGAACGGCACCAGAATCTGTCTCATTCTCACAATTATCGGCGTTGGCCCATTGGAGCCTCTGCAACGCATATCACTCAGGTCAAAACATCATGATCGCATCGCGTTGGCAGCAGACAATCAAGACCGCCAGTTTCCATAAAAATTGTCTATCCGCACCTGATCTGACGCCCCGTCATGGTGCAGGCATGGTTGAGAAAGCAGCCAGCGAAGCTACAGAACTTGTCCAGTCGCACGCAAAGATGAAGACCGCTCTGCAAAAGGTTTCACGGCTGCTAGAGGGGTACACAACTGAGATTAACCATCTTAAAAACAAGCTACGGCTTGCTGAAGAAGCGCACCATGCCGACACATTGCAATTACTAGCCAAATCTAAAGCGTTTGAAAGCGAGTGTGAGACGCGGAATCGCCACGAAAAAGAGATCTTGAATCTTCGCGACCAGTTGTCTTCTTCACAGGAGCAAGCTCACAGAAATGACGAGACTTTACGCCAGGAGTTGACCCTCACGGGCGCTCAAGTGAAAAGATTGCAGGTGGACGTGGATCAGCTTCGGTGCGATAACCAGGAACTTGAGCTTCAGGTATCCGAACTACACGCAGCGCAGCGTCTACTACGTCAATCGATGGATCAATTACTCTCGGAGGCAGTACTGGCGGCCGGCAGGGAGAAGAGATTAGAGAAAACTCTCGAGGAACGAGAGGTTGCTCTCCGCGACTGCCACACTGCGCGTGGTGAACTCGCGTCGCTTGTTTCGGTTCTCAAAAAGCGAGCGTCTGATCTAGATCTTGTCAACCGCGGACTAGAACAAAGCGTCGCACAATGTTGGCTGCACAAGCTCAAGAAGTGGATCGCAGCGCGTGGAAGCAAGCGTCGATCCGATGATGGGGACTGAGTGAATACTCGGCAACTTTGGGCTCCGATAATTTCATGCCTCCTTCGTGTTCAACTTCGTTGCACTGGTGTACTACGCGCTATTCTACCTCTGGACCAACCCCCCCCCCCCCCCGAGAGCTGAGCGGCGTCTCCGGGATGCCGGGCTAGTTCCCGCGGTCCCCAAGCATCGACTTTGGCGGAAACTTGTCGGCAGCAGCGCGGGTGATGCCGTCCTTAGCCGCATGGAGTCATGGCACCAGGAAGCAGTGTCCTCTCCCGGCACACGTCGTGAGCCCGTTCCACGACGTCGCCGCATCACGCCAAACACGCTCGTCGACAACATTCACGCAGATCAGCTCTATGGCAAAATATTCTGGAAGGACCTTGACGTGTCGACTAGCCTCTCTTTTCCCGGGCCTCTCGAGATAATCTCCGACTATATCTACCGTGTTCCTTGCCTACGACTAGAGAACAAAAAGGAAGATACAACAGCCGATATGCGCCGGTCGTCGCCGACACAACTACTGATCGGTCTCTCAGGACTCTTTGCTGTGAGGACTCTGGCAGCTTGAAATAGAAGAACAGGCATCTATAATAAACACCCATGATCTCCGTATTTAGAGATTGTTATCCATGAAGCGATGATCCACCCTACCGTTGTGTCACGTAACTGTCAACAAAACGGACATGTCCTCGGATATCGATCAATTGTTAGAGGGTGTAAGAAAATTGTTAGCCTCCACTAAAGCGCCCGGGGCGGGGGTATGGTGTCTGAGGGGGTGGCTCTCATCCCTGCTCTTTGTTAACTTAAGAGAGTGCCGGCACCATCTACTGCTGGGTACGGTACATGGCGATGGTGTGTGTACCGCGCATGGATTGGTGAGTGGCGGGAGCCAATTGCCTGTAGGGCTGCAGTGAAGGGAAGCAAGGTCCAGAAGGTAGGTACCCGCCATAGAGGATAGGCCGCGGAAGCCCACCATGCACATTCTTCTCCCCGACGGCATCACCCAATCTTGATCCCACCGCCACTGGCGCTGACGACGCAGCCCGTGATCCACCTTGCGTCGTGGCCACACAGCAGGCCGACGACATCGGCCACGTCCTCGGGCTGTCCGAAGCGCGGGATGCTCTGTGACGGGAAGAACTCGTCCTGGAAGCGCTGGACGGCCTCGGGCCCGCAGTTGACGACGGCCTCGGTCTCAGTGAGTCCGGCCGTGACGGCGTTGGCCGTGGTGCCGGCCATAAACGCGTACCTGTCATCCTTGCCGCCGAAGGCCTGTGCCCACGTGCGGCAGAGCGACTCGCCGGCCGACTTGCCGGCCGCGTACATGAGCTGGTCGCTCCAGGGCTGGCGGGACCGGATGGATGAGACGTAGATGATGCGGCTGTCCGGCTGGAAGAGGCATCGGCGGACAAACTCTTCCACGATCATGACGGGCGTCTGTATGTTGCCCAGGATGCTGTGCCGCACCTCGTCGGGGTTCATGGCGCCGATGACGCCTGGCATCGGATCACAGGCGGAGTTGACGAAAATGTCCACCCGGCCGTTGAATGCGCTGCTGAGCTCGTCGGCAATGACGCTAGCGCAGTCGTCGGAGAAAATGTCCGCCACGAGGCCCTTGATATGGAGGCTCTCTGGGCGCTCCCGCGCGGTCGCTGCAAAGACACGCCTCGAGACCTCCTCGCTCAGGCCAGTCGAGAGCGCGTCGACACCTGCATGGCCAGAGCAGGTCCCGAGGATGGAGCAGCCGCGCGAGGCGAGGTGATAGGCGATGGCACGCCCGATGCCGCGCGAGGCGCCGCTGATGACGGCGACCTTGTGCAGGAGGTCCAGCTCACGGACGGGAGGCATTTTGAAGCTGAGGCTTGGGGTA